GGTTAGGGTTGGGAAGCATGCAGTTTGGTAGTTCGACCTCTGATGTTCTTCAATTCCCAGGCTATATTTCTCCCTCGGGAAACTGACAGCTGCAGTGTGCAGCGTGGAGAATGGCCTTTGCAGCTGCAGCAGCGAGCTAGTGGCTGGGCACCTGGCTGCACTCATTGCTCCTCATGGAATTGGGGAGGCTTAGATAGGAGGCCCCCTTCCTTTGGTACCAAGAGAGAGGGCATCTCTCCGCAGGACTGCATGCCACTACTCCTTTCAGTTGTCAGGAGCAAAACTGTGCACTCCCTGGATGTTGGCTTTCCAAGCACCTACCCACCTAGCCCTAGAAAATTTTATTTTCCCTTTTGTGCCCTTCATCTCCTTTCTTGTACATCTCTGTTCAGTTAAACAAGGGTTTACTGAATGGATACTACATGGCAGGCCCTGTGCTGGGGATATAGATGGGGTAAAAGAAGTCTCGACCCTCAAGGAAATCAGTTGGAGAGAGCCTGTGTAGACATAATTATAGCATTGTAGGATAAATGCTGTTTCTCAAACATGGGGCTCATGCTCTCCCAGGGCCTTTGTATTTTCTGTTCCTTCTGTCTAGAATGCTCTTCCCCAGATCCTTGTATAGCTCATCCTCTCACATTACTCAGGTCACTCCCAAAAGAGGTCTTCTCTGAATCCTCTTGAATCCTCCCAGTTCTCTGAGTCCATTTCCTCCGTGTGACTTTTTAACACTATTGTCCTTCTCACACTTTATTTTTTTGGGGTCAGCCTCCTATACTAGATTGTAAGGTCTATTAGAGCAGGGCCTAGTTACTGCTGAATTAGTATGTAGAACTGGTACATAATAGATACTCAATATATATTTCCTTTTTATTCATTCATCGTAAGTGATTTCCCAGCGGATCTTTTCTGAGCCTCTCTAGAATCATCCAAATGGAGGAGGAGGCTTGTCTGTTTGGGAAAGAGCTTCTCAAACCTATTACCTTCCCAAGCTTTCTAAAGTCTGCGCTGCACTCTCAGGCAAGTCCGAGCAGTTTCTAACTCCCCGTTATAACAACTATAACTTTCTTAGCACTAACTATGTACTGGGCACCTCGAATATGTATTTAATCTTCACAATCCTCTGCAAAGTCCGCATTATTTCTCTGACTTTACAGAAGAAGAAACAGGCTCAGAGAGAGTGATTTACTCAAAACTTCACAGGTAGCAAGGTGCTCAGGGGCGACTCTCTGGGAAAGGTCTCCCAGGCCCCAAAGCCCATATTCGTTCCATACCCACGTTCCGGCCACATTCTCCCCTTGTCACTGTGGCCCTCTCCCACTTTGCCACCACGTCATCCCTTACAGACCTTTCCCACGTTTCCGCTACATCCCCATCCCAGCCCTTTTCCTCTCACGGGGCATCTGGGCCTGCAATAGCCCGGCCACCCCTCGAAGGCAAGTGCGGGGAGGTGCTTCGGATGCGTGCTGGATGGCTCGTCTCCCTCCAGGGCGGCAGCTCTCCTTCCCGTACCCTCCCCACGCGCCTAGCTGCCCATGGCCCGTTCCAAGGCCTGCAGCGATAGAGATCGCGATCGCTGGAGGAAAAAGAATGGGGGAAGTAAAGAGAGGCTGCAGAAGGACCTGCGGGAGGCCGACGGGCACCACCCGGTCCTGTCTTCTCAGCCTCGCTTTCCCGGGCAGCCGACATCCTACAGGGTCCGGTCCGGCGGCAGCGCGCAGGCGCGGTCGCTCCCCGCCCCTCCCCTTCTGCGCGCCGCCCTTTCACCCTGGCAACCGCGGCGCGACGACGGCGCGCGCTGGGCCTGGCTGCGGGCTGGGCACAGACGGGCGGGGC